CAGTGAGCAGCTCTGAGCCTGTTGCTTCACTTGGAACAGAATGAGTGAAAAGCAAAAGCATTGCTGCCTTCCTGCCAAACAGTAAAGAACTGCATGTTTGAAAACAACATTTCAGTGTGAAAGCATCAAAGCAAAACACTGACTTATTTGAAAACCCCTGTTATCTTGTCCTGATAATAATGTTCTTTTTAGGCAGACTGGGAAGATATTTTATTGACCTTTGATGCCTTCATGAACACAGTATGTTTCTGGAGCTGCTGCTTTGTCTCGTGTTCAGAAATGCTGCATGTGCTATACTTCTGCTTACCAAATTTTCAGAGAATTGGTTTTTTCAGTTCAGGGTATGAACATATTGTCAAATAAGACATTTGTTTCCATTTATACAACTTTCAATTTGATAATAAGCAACAGATGAAAAAGCAGTACCCGAATTCCCTTGTATAAAATTTCTTGTGAATGCCATCCCTTCATTTCATACAAACAGCCCGGTTTTCAGTCCTGTGAGTAGCATTAAAAAGTACAGATACTAATAAAGAAGGAGGAAAGCAGAATAACTGAAGCTTAGTGGAGAGGTATGGAAATCTAGCATTGGCTTCTGAATATCAACCCAAAAGCTGTTCCCGGACTGTTTTCAGCCCCGTGCTGCTCTGACTGTACTGAGCAGCCAGTGGGTGCCCAGCACCGGCATTAAAGGGCAGAACAACTCATTTTAGCTTCAAGGTGGCCACAGCATTGTGTGAAGGCAGTGGTGGTGAGCACTGAAGGGTGCAGTGCTGTGCTGTGTCCCCTTGTGATGGCTCCAGGTGTCTGTCCCAGCCTGCCGGGCCCTGCCGGGCCGTGCCGGGCCTGCTGCTCCGGCTGCTCGCGGCCTTGCAGGCCCCTCAGCTCGGCCGCAGGGCTGCACTGCCTCCCGATGGCTTCTGCCTTCCCCTGCCTTCCTGCACTGCCTCCCGATGGCTTCTGCCTTCCCTTCCCTTCCTGCACTGCCTCCCGATGGCTTCTGCCTTCCCCTGCCTTCCCTTCCCTTCCTACACTGCCTCCCGATGGCTTCTGCCTTCCCCTGCCTTCCTGCACTGCCTCCCGATGGCTTCTGCCTTCCCCTGCCTTCCTGCACTGCCTCCCGATGGCTTCTGCCTTCCCTTCCCTTCCCTTCCTGCACTGCCTCCCGTGGCTGGGAGCCCAGCACTGGGCTGTGTTCCTGTGTTCCTGTGTTTCTGTGTTTCTGTGTTTCTGTGTTCCTGTGTTCCTGTGTTTCTGTGTTTCTGTGTGTCTGTGTTCCTGTGTTTCTGTGTTCCTGTGTTCCTGTGTTTCTGTGTTTCTGTGTGGGCAGCGTTTCTGCTGCAGATCAGTCTGGTTTTGACATACACCCTTCACCCGTGCCAGGCTGCAGCCGCCATCCCGAGCCGTGCCGGGACAGCTGTCCCCTGCTGCTGGCGCTTGTGTCCCTGTCCCTGTGACACCACTAGGCTGTGGTGTCACATCCCCACAGCCCTGGCTCCATCCCTCACCCCACAGCCCTGCTGGGGCACCAGGGGCTGCCTGTGCCCAGCCTGGCCGCTGTGTCCCAGCAGGAGCGGGGCCCTGGCTGCCCTGTCACCCGTGGGTGACACTGCCCTGACACAGGGCCCTGGCTGTCACCCGTGGGTGACACTGCCCTGACACAGGGCCCTGGCTGTCACCCGTGGGTGACACTGCCCTGACACAGGGCCCTGGCTGTCACCTGTGGGTGACACTGCCCTGACACAGGGCCCTGATTGTCACCCGTGGGTGACACTGCCCTGACAAAGGGATGTGTCCCTTCTCGGGGGTACAAAGCCACAGCTGTCCTCACAGGGTCAAATGGTGTCTGTGACACAGCAGGGCCACCCACAGCCCGGGGATGCCATCTCTGCCAGGAGCACCCCTCTGTTCAGCCAGGGCCACAGCAGTGACGTGCCCAGCTCGCCGCTAATAATAATAATAATAATAATAATAATAATAATAATATCCACGGGCTGCACGTGGCACTGGTGGAGTCCCCACCCCTGGAGAGCTTAGAGGCTGAGTGGATGTGGTACTTGGGGACATGGCTCAGTGGTGGCCTCGTAGTGCTGAGTTGCACTCGATGGTCTTGGGGAGCTTTTCACAATTCTTTGACTGACAGACAAAGCAAGGGCTTGTCATGCTGTGAGAGTGTGGTGAATGGAAATGCAATGGGGTGTCAGAGCGGTGAAGAGGGACGGCTGTTGTAAACAGATGTAAGGTTGTAAGTCTGGATTGCTGTTACAGCATTTCTCCTTTCCAAACCAATTTGAAAATTCAGTCTGATGTTGTAACATTTATTTTTTCTGGACTGACTTATTGAGGTGACAGGTCAGTGCCTGATTTGAGTCCATGCCACTCTCTCCATGTGAACAGCATGCAGTGACAGGCAATCCTAGCTCTGGCTGCCCTTGTCGTGGAGCGTGTGGATGCAGGGAATGCTGGTTCTGAGCAGGGTGACATGCTGCCTGCTCCTCTTCCCATTGCACTTTGAACCCTGGCTTTAGTCTGCTTAACTTTGCATTTATTTTTTTCTGACACATCATAGCTTGGAATATGTAAAAATGCAGAGGGTGGGAAGGAGGGCATGCTGAATGGCTCTTGGCTCACTGTGTGCAGGAAAAGCAGCAAAATGAGGTTTCATCCTCATGGAACTACAGAACAGTTTGGGTTGTGGGGGTGTCTTAAAACCGTCTCATTCTACCCACATACCATGGGCAGAGACGCCCTCCACTAGGCCAGTTATTCCAAGCTCCATCCAACCTTATTTAATTAAATAAATAAGGAGGAAAAGGGCTAAACCAAATGTCTGTTTGCTTTAGAAAGCAGTGAGTAGTGGGGGAGCACGTGATGCACAGCAAACCAGCAGTGCTAGCTGCTGGTGCGGGCTCTGGAGAGCATTGGCAGTACCGGGCCTGGTGCTGGGGGGAGGCATGAAGGGTAATCACTGCATGGGATTGATCTGGATTTTAACATCCGTGTGTTTTATTTGACATCTCCTTGAGGGAGGTCCTGGGCTGTCCCAACAGGTCCCTTTGACTGAAAAGGCTCTAATAAAATTGACATTATGGGCATTTCCCTATTGCAGCTGACGCTGTGCGGTTCCTTTGGATAAACCAGCTTATGATGTCCTTTATCTGGGAGTGCTGTGGGTTCAGGGAGGTTGCTGGGGTGGTTCAGTGGGGGGCAGGGGAGTGGCTCTGGCACGAGATGAGATGTTGGTCTTTCAAGGTTAAGCACTGTGAGCTCCTGCCCTAAGCCAAGGGTGGCCTCAGGGCAAGAGCAGAGCTCAGGCTGCCTGGACACCAGCATGGAGGGACAGTGGGAAATCTTCCTAAAGTGCAACAAAGCAGCAATTTTGTGGTGGTTCCAGGTCTGGCCTCATCTTCCTCCGTGCTGTTTGCCCATGCCAGAGCTGTCCTGGGAGCTCCCATTGCTCCTGGGGAGGGACAGGGCAGGAGAAGGCTTTGTGCTGCATTCCCCATCTCTCAGCTGTCCCTTATCTTCCCATGCCACCTGAAATCTGGCTTCTTTACCTCTCACCCCCTGATAAAAGACCTGATCTGTGCAAAAGAGGAGATGGCTTTGCTGGTCTGTGCCCAGCCCTGCATGTACAGGTGTCACTGAGCTGGGACCCATGGCCAGGCCACCCTCACCTGTGTCAGAATGGGCTGGGCTGTCCCCTGCCCTGCCCCTAGAATGGGCTGGGCTGTCCCCTGCCCTGCCCCTGGCACTGCTGCAGTGGCCATGGAGCCGTGTCCCCTCTTGGGTTTGTTGGGATGGGGTCAAGAACCTTGGACTTCCACTGACTGTTGTGCTACAGAGGGACTGAGGAGAGAGCACAGATGGATTTGTAAAAGTCTTGATTAGTTTGGAGGGGCCCAGAATTTAAAGAAATGTCTGAAAGTTTGACTAAGGGCCAGTCTTCATCTGTGTTTGGGCTGTTGGCACACGGTTCAGCTTTCAGCCTTCTGTGATGTTTCCTGCTCTGCTCCTTCAAAGATGCTCCAGCCCCACAGGCTGCTCAGCCTGACAGAGCTCGAGGCTGAGCCGATTTGCTGGTGGTAAAACTTCAGCCAAAGAAATCACCGAAACTTCAGACCGAAAAGATAAAACCGCTGTGTCCCAGGCTCTGCATGAGCATCTGCCTTGCCGAGCGGCCGCTCACTGCCCCCGGCAGCCGGCACGGCTGTGCTCACCCGGCCGGACCGTGCGGCGCCCGGTGCCCCCTCCCGCTCCCGC